GCTCCCGTAAAGATTTACAGCCTCGGAAACCCTGTACAGGGTCTCTATGGGTCGGAACCGACTCGACGGCACTTAACAACAACAACAATGTGAACATCCATGTATTTGGCTGGAAAAATCAGTGTTTGAATCCAGAGTCCTGATCCATGCCACAAAGATAAGGTTATAATTATTACTATTCATAATATATGGCAAATGTTCTGTATCACCTTTCTTCAATCCAAAACATTTTGAGTTCTAAGAACAACACATTGTGGCCCAAGGATTTTGGACAAGAGATTGTGGACCTGCAAGAGTACAAACATTTGGAGGTAGGTCAGTAAGAAAATATGAGCTGAGTCATTTAGTATCTACAGGAATTAAGTGTAATCAATATTTTCTTCATCACCAACACAACCATCACTGCCATCATTCACAATAACATCATCACCACCTCCACTGAGAGCTGAACACGTAAGCAACTCCCACTTCTAGCTTTCTGACAGATGCTGTGCTGTTTGGACCCTTCTCACGGTACGCCAATTTCCTTCTGAGCCAGACACATTTAGAGGTGCACAGTGACACGACATGTGTGGTTCGGATCCATCTGCACTGCTATTTGATGGGTTCCTCGTTGCTTTTTCTTACGGTTATTTCCACTCTCTTTATAGTGGAATACTCTAGCTCAGAAATAAACCAGCAGCAAGTTGCATGGAAACAAGGCTGTTTCTTTTTTGAGAAGGCTCTTATTCCAAGTCAAAGGGATGCAATAAAACAATCCTCCAAGATCAACATGTTCAGCAAATGGCCAGTGGGAACCTAAAGTATATAAAGAGGGGCCAAGGCAGGAGTGGTGAGCAGAGGAAGCTTGAGTGCCTTCAACACCATTCTGAGATCTCAAATGATACTTACAAGGCCCATGAATGGTGCAAACTGTTTACAGGGAACTGCTAACTTAAAGGTGGCACTGGGGAAGAAAGACATAGCACCTTCCTTTCATAAACATCACACCAAGACAACTTGATGGAACAGGTTTTCTCTGTATTGCATGGAGGCACCAAGAGTCGACAACAGGTTAATGATGCTTGCATTACTACAAAGAGAGGTAAAGCTCTAGGGGGTGGGGGTGAGGGGAATGGACAACTGTAGAAAAGTCTGAGGACAAAGGAAAGTCTTGGCTCTAGGACCCAGGGATGAAGTAACACTGAGTTTGCCTACTTTGGACTCCAAATATGGAGACTTTAAAACACCACTAAACAACCTGGAAATAAGTGCTTAGCTAAATGCACAGAGAAAAAAGAGGAAGGCTTTTAGCAAATGAGTATGGCTTCCTTCCTGTCATAACGGAGGGAGGGCTATCAGCAGGGCTTGTGATCCCTGACCCCACAGGGCACTCAACTACAGCCTCTTACACCGCCCATTTTCACTGCCTTTTTGACGAGAACAAAACAGTGTGTCATTTTTTAACAAAAAGTTGTCCATTTGGAAAGTCCTACTGTAGTTTGAACTTTGAGAAACTTCCAAAGGCCTGTTTTGAGACATTTTTATTAAATAAATGTTGCTTTTCCCCAGAGAACTATTAGAACACATATAATGAAAAAGGCATGTTCCACATACACACACACACACACACACACAAAAAAAAATAATAATAATAATATTTGAGTGCTACATCTGTAAGCTAAGTATAAACGGTAAACCCACTAACTCATGGGGACCCTCCAAGGCAGAGCAGAACTGCTCCATAGGGTTCCAAAGACTATAAATCTTTATGGGAATACACAGCCTCATCTTTTTCCCCCTGAACTGCTGGTGGATTTGAACTGCTGATGTTGTGGTTAGCAGCCCAGTGCTTGCTCCACTGTGCCACCAGGGCTCCTTAAGTATAAATACTAGCAAGAAGGAAGCAATTGTGACCATAAAGATGTTCAAAAACATCCCCAAAAACCTTGACAGTTTAGTAACATTCATGGTTTCTCAAACTCAGCACTGTTGACAAACTGGGTCAGATAATTCTTTGTTGTGGGGACTGTCCTGTGCATTAAGGTGCCCTGGTGGCTCAGTGATTAAAGCACTTGACTGCTAACTCAGTGGTCCGTGGTCCAAATCCATCAGTCAACCCACAGGAGAAAGATGTGTTAATCTGCTTCCATAGCAACTGCACCCATGGAAACCCTGTGGGGCACTTTCACTGTGTCCTGTAGGGTCCCTGTAAGTCTGAATCAACTTAATGACAACAGGTTATCAGGTCCTGTGCACTGGCTTTTTCTTACTAGATGCCAAAAGCAACCTCCGTTCTCCTCTTTCTTTCAACCACCAAAACTGTCTCAAGACCGTGACAAAAGTCACTTGGGAGCAAAATCACCCCCAGTTGAGAACCACTGTTTTAACCAAACAAAAGGAATATACTAGAACGTACACTGGGGGATGTGCAAGGATAGTAAACCTAAATGCTTTCAGGGGCCAAGCAGGTTCTAGTACTGTAACAAGTGATTAGTGAGGGGAGATTGGAGAGAGCAGCCTCTGACCTTTAACCTAAGGCCTGCAGGCTAACCAGTCTGTGACACCTGTTTCAGCTCCTGATTATGGTAGAAGATCTAATGTTAACCTTGTGGTTTCTCTGCAATCCCACTAACCGTGTCAGATGGGGCCATGAACAGCAGCCCTGTCCCAACATGCCTAGAAGTTGGGATGACACTGATAGAGAAAACATTACTTTCCCACTCCTCAGTATCTCTCTCTCTAAGCACATTCCTAAGAGGTGAGACTACTTCCCTTTATGTGTCATCAGCCTAGCCTAGTTCAGACCCAAATCCACACCTACCAAAGAGGGTGACACTTTATCTTGGCTTTAATGAACATAAAAATAGAAGACACAGCAAGTTCAACACACAGGGTGTATTATTTTGGTTGCCATACTATCAAGAAACACAAAAGGACTCTTTCTTGCCTGTTTGCTTATTGCTCACGTGGTTAGTGAATATACCTAGTGATGCCCTTAGAAATACTCAGTCAAATTTTCCTCATCAGCATAGCTTCCAAAAAGGGCCTTTTATGACATTCCAACATCAAGATTAGAACTATGCCATCACCAAGACAACCTAAGTTCTTAGATTCTTATAAAAAGTTAGTTAAGAACACAGACCCAGAGCTACTTACCATGAATGATTTGAACCTGAAGTCACCATGAATAATAAAATACCTATTTGTTCTTTCTTCCTTCAAACATTATAATGTGTTAGCTTAGCTTTGAGAAACTCAAAAGTACTAATTGCAAGTTACAAAAATCAGATAATAGACCACAAAAACCCTCTCTGAGGGAAGTAAAAGAGAAGCTAACGAAGAAGTCAGTGGTTGGACGAGCCACCATAGGAGAAAGATGTGGCAGTTTGCATCCAGAAAGATGAGAGCCTTGGAAACCATACAGGGCGATTCTACTCTGGTCTATAAAGTCACTCAGAGTCAGAAACGACCCAATGGCAATGACTGGATTAAAACTTTTATGCTCTATTATAACTAAGTATAATTGTTTTTTCCTATATATTTTAGTTTAAATTTTTTCTATAATATAAATGTATGATACATGTATAACCTGGAAAAAAATTATGAGAGCTACCTGAGATTGATAAAGTGGGGGAATCTTTTCATGAGTGAAAATGCACATCAGAATATCACATGGAGTTAAATAAAAACCAACCTTTGCCTGTATCTGCAAAAAAGCTCCAGTGAACTGCAAATGAATACTTAAGAGACTCTCCACCCATCCCCCTTCCCATGGGTTTGAATTAGACAACAATTAGGAAATAAACAATATTCCGATTGCTTGCACTGTAAGCTGAGCTTAAGTAGATCAAAAAATATTGCCAAAGCAGGTGAAACACAAACACGCGAGGATGAAAGTCGTTAGTTGGTAGACAGTGGTCAATAAATTCACACCACAAAGATCAATCCAGAACCTGAATTAGTCCGAATACAGTGAACGGCCATAATAAGTCACCTGGAAAGCAGAAGCAACTACACAAAGAGGTTAGTGATTGCAAATAAATACAGCTCCCAGCACCACTCAACAACACAGGAAGCAGTGGACAGGTTTATTTAGCAAAGAGCGTTTAAGAAGTTGTAAAAAGCAGGACAGAAGCGTGAAGCCTTACTTACCATTTGAATTATGTTTTAAAGCTTTATTAGGTTTTATTTACCAGTACCAGTACTAGAAGCAAAGTTTGATGTCAAGGGTTTTAGAAAAATTTTTTTAGAAAAACATTCATAAAACTAAATCTGTCAAGGAAAATAAAAACCTGAGAATTACCAATGTTTCATATTTCAAATTTCAAAATCATATACACATATACAAAATGTACAAAATGTAAATTACTAATGTGATTTGCAAATAGGATGCTCAGAATGCGTATCTTTTTATTGTCTTTCAGCCAAAAAATCTAAAGTCATTGATACTGCTTTAGACGTAATAGCATTACTTTGTAACAGGGAAAAATGATGTTAATATAACTAGAACTGAAAGTACAAGGAATGCAAATGATGGACTCAGGCCAGTTAATAAAATGACAAAATATTCTCTTCAGTCTTACACATGAAGGCCGGTCTTAGGACCGGGATTTTCAAGATGTTATAGCCTTAAGTTTTAAGGTCAGCAAAATGAGCAAACAAATGAAAAGCGATTTTAATGATTATCCAAATCACACAAAAAATTGTAATCTTATTATTTCCTGAGCTCCAAATGTTCACTGTCACTTAATAAATCTCAACAGTGAAACTGTATTCTAACAATGACATGTAGGAACAGAGATGGTTAAAAACTCTGGGAACTCGAAGAAAGATTTTCAGAGCCTGAAGAAGATTTTTTGCCCCCCACTTGGAGGAAATAAAAAAAAAAAAACTCCTTCAAGCTACTTGTAACCCCAAACTCAAAGTAGGTTTCTAGTAAACTGGTAAATGAATGCACAGCACAGCCATCCTCACTGTTAGCACGGCAGTGTCTGCTTAGCTGGGCACACACAACTTACGTCAGTGATTGTGTTCAGGGCAGTGTCTGCACCAATGCTGAAATCTGAACCTGGTACATTGTTGGAGACAGTAGCGGGAACCATGATCATAGGAATACAGAACTCCTCGTGTTTCTCCCGGGCAGCTAACAGTTCCAGCAGTCCCAGATAGGCCTGTCAGATAAGTGTGTGCAATTGTGGGGCAAAGAAGGAGAAGAAGGGGAACAAAGGGACATCATTTGCATTTGGAGTTTGAAAGGATGGGAAAGCCACAAGGAGAGCCACTTCTACCACAGCATACAAGGTACATATGGGGATACCATGGAACCACTAGAAAAATCAACATAAAAAGGTATTAAGCAATTTTTTAAGCACGAAAGGTAAGACATGACATTATCATTTACAAGCAAGACTTAACTCCCTTATAGTTAAGAGTTTGATTATTTGAGGTTCTTACCATTTTCTTCTAAATAAAACTACGGTTTATTGTGGGACTGATTGTCACTAAATAGAAAACAATCAAGAACTACTACAATCCAATATGTGATTAAACAAACCTTTCTCTTGAAATAGTCAATGGACTTAAAGTCCAAGAGATAACACTATTTCTAGGAACCTGAATTACATCAGAACTCACTAAAAAGATGAATCAGCATTAAGGAATCAAATTCTTACTTCCCAATTTAGTTACTTTATTGAAACTGGATCAATCTCACATATCACTTCTTGCCACTCATACTCTTCTGCACACACAGCTATTCAGTGGCAGTTGGGTCTGCTGGGAATCTACACTCCCAAATCATGAAGAATAACAAACATGTACTATGCCTGTTTGAAGCCAATGCAGTGTTATTACTTATTCCCACAAAGCTAACTAACTATCAGGTTAACAGAGAAACAATAATGTACCTCAAATCCACCAATTATCAATAGAGCGTTGATATTATGAACACGCATCTGTTCAGCAATCTTCTCCAAATACTTTCCCGGTAGAATACTAAAAAGAGTTCAATCGAGAGGTGAGGTCAGATGCTGGCTAGCTTCATAGTTTGTTTCAGATACATCATACTAATAAAACCCGAGGAATCCTGGTGTGGAGGTGTACGATCGGCACTGGACTGCTAACCATATGGTCAGTGGTTCAAACCCATACATTCTTCGGAAACCCTAAACAGTGTTGCTATGAGTCAGAACTGAATCAATGGCTAAACAATAAAAATATACCTGATACAAGATAATTTACCCCATTGGCTCGGGGCTCCTCTCCCACCTTTGTGAGCCAACTATCTGTTACATTAAGGAAAAGTGGGTTTACTGGTCAGGATCATGAGTAGTAATGTTGGGAAATGTCTATACAAAGAAGCCATGGTCAGAAATCACATATCAAAAATGTGTATTTCAAAAGAAAGCTGGGCAAATATACCCCATAACTTTTTAGTTGTCTACGAGTTTGGGGCAGTCTGACTTGTCCTGTAAGGATGCTTGGAGTTGAAATGGATTCAGTGGCACACAATAACAATCATAATTTGACCAAAAGAGATTTCTACTGCCTCATTATAAACAAAAAAGCATAGTATTTAAAAAATTTTAACAAAAATAATTGCTTAAGTGGAAATGTACAGTTCCAAATAACTTACATATACATTATGCAATCTGGTCTCATTTTAACTCACATCCACTCACACTTGCTATTCTTCTCCTATTTTAGCACCTATTTCAGATGATATGGTTAACAAGTAGATTACCAGACAAACGACATTTGGCTATGTTCCATCCTAACTTCCCACCAAACACTTCCTCCCTTCAATCTTTCTTTTATGCTTCTGGGAGGAAATAAAGTATACTTTTCTTAGAGTTATGAGAAGCTGTAAGACAAACAAACAAACAAATGCTAGGCATGGCAAACCATAGAAAACGAGCTAACTACAGAATCCTTCACGGCCTTTTGTTTTTTTTTTTAAATTAAATGTTTTTATTTTGGAATGAGTGAAAGTTTACAGGGCACATCATCAGCTTCACATTCAACCATTCATATAGCTTGTTTCATTACATTGATTATTATCCCCTCCATATATCATCAGTTTACAGTGTTTCTCTCTATCCTCTTTAGCTTTTTTTTTTTGATGGTGGGGGGACTTGCCTTTTTGGAATTTACAGTCTCGGCTTTTAGGGAAGGTTTTTACTTTTGTCTGTGGATATCCAGGGCTCAAGTATGAGATTACTAACAAGCATTACTGAATAATCAGATGAGGGACAGTTTACTATGTCTACTAGGTAGCTAAAGTCTGATCCTCAGAGCCTATGGTTTGGACGACCAACAACGCTTGGGCCCACAGGGGCTTGGCCTCCTGACCGGGTCTGCACGGTCTGCATCTGAATCCTCCTTATTTATTGATTGTTTAAGGGACGCTGCCTGTCTTAGGCGGTCAGTGCGAATTCCTCAGTCTTACCAGTCATTGAAACTCATTGCAGCATGGCAATGGCTCTGTCTTAAGTTGCCGAGGTTCCACGTGATCCTTACCCGTCTCTGGCCACACGTCCAGCATAAAGAGCCGCCATCCAAGGAAGGCAGGGAGGGAGAAGATCGGCTGGGGACCCCATGTGCCAGACGTTGCCGGCCCACCACCTGCTCTAAGGTGACCAAGCAGGATCACTATGCTGAGGTTCAATCAAGTTCTTAGGGGATCTTACTCTCTAGCAGGGGTAGCAAATTAGTAGCCACTCAGTGTTCACTTTGAGAATTACTTGTATCATAAATTTGAGCATGTAGCTGATGAATATCCACAGACAAGTGTATATTGTTCCACAACCTCCTAAAATGCTGTTGGATTAAGTTCCAATCAATTTCTGGGTTACTGACCTTCACGGCCTTTTAAAGTGGAAATTCTTAGCTGCTACAGATTTTTGACGAAGCTGCCAACCTAATCATCTTGAGCTGACTAACCAGTCAGCTTCTACAGAAAAGCCTACTGAGAAATCAAAGTCATCCTGAATAGGTCCAGGAAATACACTGAACTGTTTGTTAATTCTGATTATAACGCTGTAGCACCAGACATCAATGATGTTGACTCTTGGTGAGGCTGGACAGCAAATAGCTCAAGAGAACTACACACCGCTCTTTAGAACTCTTGCCATCAGCTGAAGCCCTGAAGCCCAAAGCACAACAAAGAGTTGGGACAATATCCTTAGTACATTAAGCTACAATTTGTATGGAAATGAACATTTATTAGATTTAAGCAAAAAGTGATTTTCCTTTCATATTAAAATATACTAATGACTGATAAATCCTCTCATACCTAAAACAATAAACTATTTTTAAAGATTTAAATTCAGTTTCATATTAAATATGGTACCTTGTTGGATATCCTACTCCTGGCGATGCTGGAAAAGGGTTATTATGTTTTGATTCTGGAATTACTCAGGTCATTTCTTTGAGCCTCAAATAACACGCTACTCGGTTCTGTTTTTCCTACGAACACTACCCAAATACTGATGATGTCTTAGTTCTTCTTTTAAATAGTATGGTTACTCTTGTTTATTGATAACACTTATTTATGTTACCTAGAATGAAGTCATTAGGCGTTTCCTCACAATTTTGCACTTCAAATAAATAGAAATAAGAGATAGGAGACAATATTTCACATATAAACTGCCCTATCTCTTCCCAAGCCCTCATGGTCATCACCAGCATGCCTTTCAGTCACATGCCTCAGGCAGACTCAGCTCCTTAAAGGATGACACAGGTCCTCCTTGGAGAGGATCCAGGGTCACTTCCTTTAGGAATTATTTACAAGAAATCAAAAGAATCCAAATCTCTATCCAGCTATTCAGTGATACAATGTGGCATTTTCTGCTTCCTTAACATTAGTTCAGAATATCAAGGTTTGGAAATTACCGTTTTGTCCCAAGAATTGATCCTCCTTGGCCAGTCCAGCCTCCAACATCTGTCCAGCCAATTTCTTTTACCTAATGGGCAAAGACATGATGAAACAGTTAAAGCAAAATAGGAAAAGGTAGCTGAAAGTTTTTTAAATACCTCCGATTTTTGTACCCTAAATAGTCAATCAACATTTTACCCATAAACCAAAAATGCCAACCCCATTGCCATTAATTTGATTTAACTCATAGCGAACCTATATGACAGTGGAATGGTTACACAGGGTTCCCTGTAAAGATTTAGGAAGGGTTATGAAACCATTTTCATACTAGGTTAAATGAGTCCAGATGATAAAACTGACTTATAAGCTCATCAGTCAAGAACATCAATGGAACTAAATTCTCCTTGCCTAAAGGAAAATCTCTGCCTTGTATTCTGGATGTGGCCATACTTTCCTAGTCATACATAATAAGTGTACATATAGTTTAGTTGGCCAGATTCTGTCATAAAATTAGAATTATATATTTTTAAAGTTGACATACAATTAAAAGAAAGCATTTTGTTTTTATAAACAAAAATGACTCAAAAACTTCAATGAATGCCTACACAAATTAAACTACACTATGTAAAAAAAAATACTACGTAATTGAAGATGTCTTTTGCAGCAGGTCTGTCCAATGCATTGTCATTTATTTGATTTCTTGCTTCAATGGAGGTTGACTGTGTATCCAAATAAAAGAGAACCTTGACTACGTCAGTCATTCCTCCATTTACAATGATTCTGTTTATTGGTCCAGTTGAGAGTATGTTTTCTTTACATTGAAATGAAATCCAATAATGAAGGCTATAAGCTTTGATGTGCATCAGAAGTAAGTGCTTCAAGTCCTCTTCACTTTCAGCAAGCAAGATTGTGTCATCGGCATATTAATGTTAATGATGTTAATGTCAATAATGTAATCATGTTTAATGAGACTTCCTCTACTTCAGGTGCTGGGCTCTTCTTCATAGAGTCCAGTTTCTCAAATTATTTGCTCAGCACACAGATTGAACAAGTAGGGTGAAAGCATACAACTCCGATGCATACTTTTCCTGATTTTACATCATATAACATCCCCTTGTTCAGCAGGAACAACTGTATCTTTGTGTTTGTACAAGTTCTATGTCAGCACAATTAAATGGGCTGGAATTCTCATTCTATACAATTTGTTATGGTTTGAGGCTTGAATTTTTTCTTAAGTTCTTTCAGGTTGAGAAATGCCTAATGTATCACTTCCTTTGGCTTTCTAACTCCAGGTCATTGCACATTTCATTTTAATATTTCATCTTCTTGAGTCACCCTTTAAATTTTTCTGTTTAGATCACTCTCTTATCTCCCACCCCCCATCCAAGCTTTGTTAGCAGAAAGCCAGCAGTCTGGAGGAGAGAGAGAATAATTTCTCAAGACTGGCCTATCTTTCACAAAGAGCAGACACATTATATAGGGTAAGGTACATTTGGATGTACACTTCATCTATTTTAACATCAAGCTAGCATTCTTTGGAAAAAGAAGCAATAAACTTTCTCAAACATTCTATCTTGGAGGATGGGGAGAAACAATATACCAACAAATTTCCTGAAACATTCAGTCTTTAGGGTCTCAGCTGCTTACTTCCTATGATAACTATCTGGGTGGGTTTACGCACATCTTATTCTTCTTGTCCTGTTCTCCTTCTAGGACCAGAAGGTCATCTTAGCTAATTTTTAAACTTCCTCATTTGCAGGGTCCTCCCTAATGACTAACCCCACTCCATTTTGTTTAGGTCAGTAGATCCATGTATTATTACCCACACTTATTTTTAGATTTCATTTCTATGAAATTTGCTTCAAATGAAAATACTTACTTTGATCCTGAGCATTGTTCCTTAGGTCGTGAAAAATCACAAGTTTTATAAAGGGTGATACAACAAGGTGAGCATTGAATACAGTAACTGTGAAAATGCCTATGACAATACAAACCCAACCCTCACTATTAACATGGGTAGCCACGTTAGCTTAGGTAACTAAGACAACTAACTTTCATCATCTGCTCTAAAGAAGCCCTTACACTTTGGCAGTGATAGTCTGGGAGGCAGCATTATGGATCTTTACCAGTGTACTTGGCAAGTCTGTGGATTTTCACATTTACACAAGCATTACAAAAAAGGGGTAGGCTCACATGCTTAGCTGGACTGAACACATGTAGATTGATACAGAAGTCAAGTGGAGGGAGCACCAGCGATGAGGTCTATCAGTCTCTGGGGTAGGAAGGTGATGAGCCTTCCAAATGTATGGACTCTCCTTCCCACCACCCCATGCCAGTAGAGTTAGTGGGGATGTAGGAGAAGGCCTTAGATCCACAGAGGAGGAACCACCCTGCTGGTAATTTTGCTGCAGGTGCATTGGACCGGCAGGACCTGATTCTTGCTATCATTTAGAGCCAAATTAATTACATTCACACACTGAAGGGACCTGTACTTTGAAGGGTGGATAGCCTAACTTGTTATGTGGGAAACCAGAACTCTGGTTTTCAAGCCACCATCAAAATGGGTCCAACAATGGGTACTGGATGTTATTACTGTTCTTACGGTAATAGAGAATATTTCTTGATACTTCTCAGTAGTGTCCTGGGCTCACCTCTAGAGATCATTATAGGTGAAGTCTACTTCATTATCTTTATAGATGGACACACCCTGCTAGAGCTTTTTATAGACGCACTAACCCCAATGAGGGAGTCCTGGTGTGGCACTAATGCGTCAGACTGCAAAGTCATTTGAACTGCAAGGTCAATGGTTCAAGCTCACCAGCTGCTCCTTGGAAACCCTATACAGGATCGCTAGGGGTCAGAATTGACTCAACAGCACTTAACAACAGCACTTTACCCCAATAAGGTATGAGGTAAAGGTTGTTTGACCTACAATCTCCCTTTAAACAGAAATCAGATACATTCATCATATGCTTTGCTAAATATACTCAAACGGTTACACTTGAATGTCCAACCCAAAGCAGGAGAGAGAAGCTAAACATTGCCTTTAATCACAGCTTGAGATCTGAGGAAGAACTCACAACCCATTGTTCTCCAGGACATTACTGACTGGTGTGGTGAGTCTAGGTCTTGAGTTCCAGAGCCATGGGGGTCATCAGCAGAGTCTCTCAATGTCTGGGCCACTTCTCTTTTAAATGGGAGTCAGGTCTGTTTTTCTACATTTTGAGCAGGACATGATCTCTAGGCTGGAAGGTGCAGGTTACTTTGATATTGGTGCAAGGTAGCCTTGTCTTGAGATTGTTCTTGAAGCAGGTGAAACAGAGCTGACATTCTGAATGATTTCTTTCTTTCTTTTTTTTTTTTTTTAAGTTCTTGCCCTGGAGCCAGGGCCTAATGAATCAAACCAGGGCCTCCTTCCCGTAGTGGATCATTTCATGGACTCATTTAAGAGCAGGGGCTAGTTTACACAGGATCAGAACACCATTCTACTGACATTCACTTTCTATCCTTTCATCTCGTGGAATAAGAACAATTCTATCGTCATTCACGTTTCATCCTTTAACCTCTCACTCAAATCCTTTTGCTACAGCCCAACTCAAGCCCTCTGGGTACACATTCACAGTCTTTCTTACCAACATTTCGTATGCCCTCATCAGTGCAATCAGTTTGACTTTTTGAGCCAAGGTCCCCACCAGGAGAGCTATTGCTTCCAACTAGTCTTGTAAGATTTCTCTTGTCCAACTTTAACCTCGCCATTTGCTGAAGCTAGAAATGGAGTAACCACTGATTTAATTTTTCATTCTCACATATGTTTAGCCAGCAAATTGTAGTGAGTCTACCACCAAGGTCCCACTAAGCTGCTAACTGCAAGGTCAGAAGTTCAAATCCACCAGCTACTCTGTGAAAGAAAGAGGAGACTTTCTGCTCCCATAAAGACTTACAACCTTGGAAACCCTACCCAGGGGCACTATGAGTCACAACCAACCCAACAGCACACAACAACAACCCAACAACCTTCAAAACACATTCAGACTCTTGATTACTTCTCACCATTTCTACTGGCATGGAGCAAGCCATCCTCATCACTTGCTTGTTGCTGTTGTTAAGTGCCATCAACTTGTTTCCAAATCATAGCCACCCTGTATGGGGTTATTGAGGGCAGCTAATGGGCTTGAACGGCTGACCTTGTGGTTAGCAGACCAGTATTTATTCTATAGCATCACTCCTAGTGATCTAGTCTCCATTTCCTGTTTCTCTTTTTTCTTAATGCCAGAGTCATCTTATGAAAATGTAAATGCTACTCCCAAGATCAAAACCCTACCTGCTCCACCCCCCATCCAAAAAAAAAAAAAAAAAGCTAAAGAGGATAGAGAGAAACACTGTAAACTGATGATATATGGCGGGGATAATAATCAATGTAATGAAACAAGCTATATGAATGGTTGAATGTGAAGCTGATGATGTGCCCTGTAAACTTTCACTCAATGCAAAATAAAAACATTTAATTAAAAAAACAAAACAAAACAAAAAAAAAACCCTACCTGGTAACTCAGAATAACAGCCAAATTCCTCACAGTGACCTGCAAGGTCCTAAATGATCTGGCCCTCACTTCCTTTTTGTCCTTATCCTCTTTGACCTCTCTCTTACTCCCTATATTCTAGTCACATGAGTTCCCCTTCAAGGGGCTTTGAACAATAGCAAACCTCCCACCTCTGAGCTTTTGTTTGCACTACATTTTTCTCCACTTAGAACAATTGTTGTTGTTATGTGCCGTGGAGTCGGTTCCAACTCATAGCAACCCTGTACAGGGTTTCCGAGGCTATAAATCTTTACAGGAGCAGAAAGCCTCCCGCGGAACACCTGGTAGCTTCGAACTGCTGACCTTGTGGTTCACAGCCCGATTCGTAACTACTACGCTAACTTGCCCACTGATTCACAGGGGTCACTTGCTCACCTCTTCAAATTACTCAATAGCACCTATCTTTAGAATCTTCATGCAAACTCCCATAAATCCTTCCTACTCTCCTTCCTTTGTCCGGTCCATAGGTGTCCCTCTCTAAAGATGCTGCATATTTTACTTGATTTATTTTGACTTATCATCATCTCACTCCTCAAAATGTAAGTGCCAAGGAGTCAGGGTCAGGAATTTTTCTCTACTTTGTTCATTTAATTTAATAAAAGTATTTATTAAATACTACTTACTGAGTGTTTGCTAAATAATAGAATGACTATACAATTTCAAACAGCAGAGCAGTTGAATAAGAGAACAAAATCCTACATCACACAGACATTGTCAAGCTAATAGAAGCCTTGTGGCTTATTTCTTCATAAGGACAACAAGCTAATAATTTAGATTTATCGTGGGATCTGAATGGGTCAATATGTGTAAATGCCTTATAAAGAATATATAATAAACACTCAGGAAGTAGCAACTATTTTTATGAAGATTTTTTTAGTTAGTGCTTGCTTTTTAACTATCAGTAAAGTACTATGTACTGATAGTTATAAACTTTACAACTGACCTTATAGGCAAATTTTATCATTTTTCTCATTTCAAGCTACTGAGCTTGAACCACCATACTTGTGGTTCCAAGTTCAGTGCTTAGGTATTTAAAGTCATTTTCTCATTTAATTAGTGACTGGTCTAGTTATAGTTGTTGTTAAGTATTATTGACTGGGTTCGGACTGAAAACAACACTGTAGAGGGTTTCCAAGGAGCAACTTTGTGGTCTAGTGTATTGTCTCGCGGCACCACATCAGGAGTGCAATTTACATGTGAGCGTCAGATTAAGGCTTTTCTTCAGTCTGGTGCCTCCATGGATACTCACCTGGCCTTTGTAAAAGCCATCAAAGCCATCGTAGACAGCGAGCATTTTGTGGCCGTCAGCTATGCCCATCCTTACAGCCGAGCGCACGGCAGCATTCATCCCGGCTGCAGGGGCGCCCACATTTATGATTCCTACATTATGGTTGCTCTGCAATACAAAAGGAAGCATGTCACTGGATCAGTGCCCTTCTTCAAGCCCATACTTAGCGTATGCCTAAGAGTACCCCCTACACAGTGGCAATTCCTGGAAATAAACTGTTGTTATTGTTAAGTGTGGTCAATGGAGTTCCAATTCAAAGTGACCCTGCGTAGAATTTCCACGGAGCAGCTGGTGAGTTTGAACCACTAGCCTTGCGGTTCACACTGACCTTGTGGTTGAGTGCTTATCCTACAGCGCCACATTGGGTGACCAAATAAAAAAAGGTCAGTTAGATAAAGTCTCTCCAGAGATGACAGGGCAGAGGGGACCTGCATAAAGGGAAGGGACTGACCACGTGAGCGAGGACATACGAGCTTTCTGTGTGACTGCCAGAAGTGAGCAGGTTTCAGAAGAAAAGGGGAGCAGATTGGCAGCACCGTGCTAAGCGCTTACCTTGACAATCTGTGAGTCTGGAAGCTTGATGGAAAGCCGTTTGTAGGTGTTCAGGTTACCTTCAAAGCTCCTACAACAGAACGAGGTTACTGAGTGAAAGTTTAGAACACTGGGCAAAACAGGAGGGCCTGCCTCTAGGAAGAAAGGGCCTCAGAGCACAAGAATTTTCTCAGAAGCAGACAGTCCACAGATCTATGTTGTGTGTATAGGCCATAAGAGGAAAATCGAGGCCAGAATACTACACCGTGTTCCACAGGGATTTCCTGTGCTATATATTTCAAGTTCAGAAATGGGCTAAGAAAATAACATTAGAGTGAGGCTCGTAAGAGTCTTTTTCAAAAGGCTAGCAACACGGTCACCTGACATTATAATCTCAATCAGCTCTGAACATTCCCCTTCACCTTGTCCAACCCAGTAAATAACAAACAAATAAACAAATGAATAATCTATTATTCTTTAACAAGCCATCTAAACAGTAATCCTTGCAGAAATAATGCCCAATTTGTTGTCTTGACTTTTGAAATTTTATACAGAAATACATAGAATAAGGAGCTCTGGTAGCGTAGTGGTTACAAATCGGGCTGCAAGCCGCGATGTCAGCAGTTCAAAGCTACCAGCGGTTCCGCAGGAGAAAGATAAGGCAGTCTGCTCCCATAAAGATTTACAGCCTCAGAAATTCTGTGTAGGGTTGCTATGAGTCGGAACCAACTCCACGGCACATAACAACAACAACAAACATAGAATAAGCATGCTCCTGGTGGTGGTGGTGTGCCACGGAGTCAATTCTGACTCACAGCGACCCTGTAGAAGGTTTATGAGGGTGTAAATCTTTACAGGAGCAAAAAGCCTCCTCTCCCACAGAGAGCTTGGTGGACTCACTGCTGACCTCGTGGTTAGCAGCCCATCGCACAGTCTCCTACACTACCATGGTTCCTTAAGCATGCTTCTAAGCACCTTCAAAATAGCCAGGACTGAAGATTGGCAGTCTCTGCGAGGTACAGTGGATAATGTATCCAGCAGCACAGGGTTACTATGCTTGGCTGCTAACCAAAAGCTGGAGGTTTGAGTCCATCCATAGATGCTTTAGAAGGAAGGTCCAGTAATCTACTTCTAAGGAATCCACGAGAATGCAGTTCAACTCTGACACACATGAGGTCGCTCTGAATTGACCCAGTGACAGCAGGCTACTAGCGGAACACATGTCCTAATAAAATAAGTGTTTATTTTTCAAAAGAACTCACCTTCCTCGAAGCTGTACAGCCTCTTTAAATCTTCTTTCATCCATGGCCTTTTGCACATCCTGGGTCTTTAAAAATGAATGAGAAAAACCATGACAAGGTTTAGTAAATCCATAAATGATGAGGCTGGGAGTTGGGGAGAAGGCACAATGAGCTTTGTCTTTCCATTTATGGTTCTCCTTTCAGAATTGGACCCTGGCCAGCCTAAAAGCCTAAATATTAAGAGTCTAGATCAGCAGTTGCCAGCTCCATCCAAATGCAACTGGTAACAAACATCTCACTGCTCAGAGAGACACGGCAGAAGTCACGAGTATCTGCCCAGTGCAGATTTGATGTTAAGCACCTCTGGAAATTTTAGAGATTTCACTCACTCTGTGAAAGCCAAGCCAAAAGCAAATGGATCTCTCAGGCAAGGGTTCTGAAAAATTCCCAGTTTCAGTCTAGTGAGAGAAAAACAAGCAAAACCTCCCTGGGGTTTGGGAGACCAGCATGGGGTTCCTGCTTGCCTCTGTGCCCTGGACCCCAGCAGGTCATATTAGTGAAGCAGTACAACACTGGGCAGAGAACTTGGACATGGCGACAGACACTGCAAGTTAGAATCCTGCTCTTTGCCGCCTTTAGGTTCTTTCTGAAGTTTAATTTCCTCATCTGTAAAATAAGAAAAATACTCCCCGCTTTTAAAGCTGTTGCTGGTTATTAAACACATGACAATTCGTGGGTGCTCACTATGAATGGTTGCCTATGGCTTTTAATCCTAACATCTCCACTTGATCATCTGAAGGACAAGTCAGATGATATGGAACACTTTTTCATTTCTAATCAGAAACACTGGATATAGGAAATACACTAAAAATAAACTTACTGCACACAGATCAACATTCCAGTCCTTTCAAGCCCTCCTTGCACCCTACCCTCTGCCCACAAGCTTTATTCATGTCCATAGGGTTTTGGAAAGGGTTTCTAAGGCTGTATGTCTTCATAAGTTCCTTGATTTAATGATTTCTCTGTATAGGTTGCAAAATACTTATCCTTCAGAGGCACCGAAGGAGAGGTCACATAAAATGATGGTCATAAATAAACTTGAAAAATGTAAGTTATTCCCAAGGCAACTGCATTGTCAGTGTATCTAATGAACCACTGGAAAAAGCCAGATCATTTTTAAAGTCCATTTGCACACCACTCCCATAGCTACTGGTAGCTTAGTGGTTACGAGTCGGGCTGCTAACCTCAAGGTGAGCAGTTCAAAACTACCAGCCGTTCCATGGGAGGAAGATGAGGCTTTCTGCTCCTGTAAAGATTTACAGCCTCAGAATCCCTAGACAGGCTTGCTATGAGTCGGAACCAACTCCCCGACACATCACCACCACCACCTTCCATAGCCACAAAAGTGGGTGCATCTTAGAAAAACTTTCCTCATTTCCTGAATTCGCCATTCTGACTGTCACATTACAGAATTGAATGTCCGTGGGGACACTAGGACAGGAAGTGGCTGAAGTCTGAGAAATTTAACAGGGTGATACCGTAGTCCTTGTGAAATTTGACCGCAAACATTTTTCTGCAGTACCACAGTATTTAGTGGGTAGGGGCCACCTAATTTTCTTTGAGTTGTTGATTTAACACATTACTCTCAAAAGATACTAATTTTTGACAGACTACACTCATTTTCAGGGAAGATTATTTCTCAAAGTAGCCTACAAATGTTAACTTAGAAAAATAGAAAGAAATAGAAAACCTTAAAATGGTCTAGTTGACCAAAGGGTTATGATAACACAAAGCCTGGGAACATTCATCCACAGGGCAGCTACTTTAGTTCTTAGAAAAATCATCTAACTGACTGTCCACCTAACACAAAAGCACATCTGTCTTACTACTCAGTCACTAGCACGCAGCCTGTGCCGCCCACAGCTCTCAGAAGACAGGTAATGAACATAGCCACCTGCTGGAACTCACCATCTGCACACACTCCACCAGCGGAAGGCGCACGGCGTGGTTTCCGCTTAGGGAAACCACACAGGCTGGGGTCTTCGGGGTTGCTTCAAGAAGGGCAATGACAGCCTCCACCCCCATGCGACTGGCCTGGAAAGGAAACACTGGATTATCAAAGCCAGCACTAGCTTCTAATGAAGGCAGATCTCGGTCGGTGCTCTAGGACACCACCCTGGGTGTGCTCCCACAAACAGATGCATCATACATACTGCACCTTAAAGTCTTCCATTTTCAAGTGCCCATTCTGTTGAAGAGTCTCAATTAGCTACTCATATTCCTTACCATTTACTTTTACTTTTTTTTTTTTGTCATGGTGTATATAACCCTTTAATGGAATCCTGGTGTGGCGCTGTGAGCTAACACATCAGACTGCAAAGTCGGTTTGAACCACAAGGTCGGTGGTTCAAGCTCACCAGCTACTCCTTGGAAACCCTATACAGGGTCGCTATGAGTCAGAAGTGACACGACAGCACTTACACATAGCAACAGCATAACCCTTTAATAGGCTGTTAGACTTGGTGTGCTAGTATTTTGTTGATAATTCTTGCATCCATATTCACAAGGAATGTGGGCATATACAGTTCTTAAGGCATCTTTCTCTCACTTTTACTATCAGGGTAATAATACCAGCCACATAGAATGAGGTAGGGATGTTTCCTCTTTGTGGACTTTAGGGAAGAAATCAGAATGTCCAGTAGAATTCCTAGTGAATCCATCTGTTCCAAGGCTTTTCTTGGCAGGGAGGTTGCTTGTTTGGTTGAGGGTTTTTTCCTTACTTTCCTTTCTTTATTTTCCCATTCCCCATTCCTCCTTCCCTCAGCTCCAGGTAGCCACTAATTTTCTTTTGTCTGCATGGATCTACACAATCTACATACTTCTTGATGGCATCTAACAACAACAATGTATATCAGAAAAGAAGAATCATACAATGCCTGCTCTTTGTGTTTGGCTTATTATACCCAGCATAATGCTTTCCAGAGGTTCAGTCATGTGCTGACAGCTATCAGAACTTCAGTGATCTTTATGGCTGAGTAATATCCCATTGTATGGCTACACATTTCGTTTACCTACTCATCTGTTAATGGTCAGTAGGGTTGTTTCCATTCTCTGGCTAGCCCTTAGCATTAACTCTTAACACTTCTCTTTATCACAAGGGATTACGGCTCCAGTAAGAACTGGTCAAGGTCAAGACTGGAGAGGAAGGTTTGAGATATGCAGAGAGCAGAAAATATTAATAACAATAACAAAAACAGCAAAATACACGTGAAAATGTGGACTCTGGATTTCTGCTGTCCCTTTGTATATGTTTTCAGGATTCTGTTCGTCCTGGAAGTCACATCACCCACAACAGGGGAGGCACATTAATTTTTACATAAAGTAGAGACTACTTGTGACGTGTCTGAGTGTTAATTTGCCTAGAAATAGTTACACAGTGGCAAGCCTCACAAGGATATTTAAAACCAAAACATGGGGTCTGTAATACTTTCAGGGAGAATCATCGCATGCTATAGACATTGACACCTTTGGGGGGTTTTTTGTTTTGTTTTGTTTTTCCTAACAGCTGGCTCTATTAAATGTTTGCTTCCTTTGTACTAAGCTTTGTTTGTTTTAAACTCCAGAAATACTGCTTTCCAAGAAAGAGCTTGTGAAAATGCTTGACAATTTACACATTTACTTACCAAAATCCTGTCGAAAGCTGATGGAGTGCCTCCTCTTTGCACATGCCCAAGTATTGTTACTCGAGTGTCAAACCCCAGCTGTGTGACTACCAACTGTAGAAATAAATCTCTGTTAGCAAATACAGAGTCGTAACATGTGCAGGTGGAATTATATTCAGTAAGAGGTACTGGGCTCTGGGAAACAATTTTGCTACTATTTCTTCAAATCTAAATGGAGACAAAAAATATTAGGATGTCTAAATTTTACTTCCTAAGGAAAATTCAGTTGAATAGCTAACTGGGATTTCTTATTTTAAGACCTTTTTCTCTTACATAGGAATTGAATATAATTATATTTTACATCTCATTACGATGAGTCAGAATCAACTCTAGAACAGCAGGTTTGGTTTGGCTGAGTATATTTAAAGTGTTACTAATATTTTATAAAAGCATAAACATTTCTCTGGAACCATCTTAAATGTGTGTAGCTGTGATGTGAACAGCACAGTCTAGTAAAGCCAAGGTTTTCTCCCCCAGTTCTGACTGAGCCCCTCTGAATCCTAGCTGGGTGACTCAGGTCAAGCACTGCAGACTCAGATCTTACAGTGCAAAGAATCATTTAATGTCTCTTCTAGCCATGGCCTTCGTAAAACAACTTTTTTCTTGATGGGTCTGGGTGAGAGGGTTTGGGAGGAGATGCTGAGGGACAGATTGCTCACAGGGTTCATTGTGATTGGTCCGTTTTGCCATTCTTCTGGGTATAAAATGAGTCCTTTCAGAAAGTGGGGGATCTTGCTATCATCAACAAGGAAGAGTCAAGTGTTGAAGGTGACACTTGGACCCTACGATGTCCTATGCATTGAACCTCCTCAACCTAGGGTCAGAAAGCTGATACGGGATTGGCAGAGGAGCAGCAGCAGCAGAAACAAGAGCCAGAGCATGAGATGGACTGGTGGGCTTCCAGGTCACAGAGCAAGTCAAGCTGAGTGAGTGGCTTTGGGCAGAAGGCCAGTTTGCAGAGTGCCTCCTGACACTTCATCGAAAGAGCTAGGTTTGTTGCCCTATGGAATTAGAGCGGAGTTCCTTCAGGCTGAGGTTTATAGTGGGGTGTGTCCTTTAGGCATTTATCAGCAGCCTTATAAGAGCTTAGTAACATTGGCCAAGCAGGGCTGAGGCCAGGTCAAGGGTTCGAGAGCCAGAGAGAGGCCTGCCTATGGGCACAGCTGAAGAAAGGCAGTTCTGATGGTAAGAAGAGTGCCATGAACATTTATGGCCTGAAATTGTATGTAATCTGTTAACTTTCTTCATAAACCCCACAACTGTGAGTGTGGTGTCTGATTCCTGTAGGGTTATTGTAACAAATTATCGAATCCAGTTGAACAGACAGTGAAGGGGGAGGGATGGCTGGCGTGATTTTTTGGACTTTGCTAGCATTCACTTAAAAAAATGGCAAAAAAAATACAAACAACAGGGTTAGGCTACATGAATTTTATGGTTCTTTTCTTGTTTTAATATTGCATGACTTAATCTCAACTTCAAAGAAGTAGGAAAAAAAACGATCACTCTCTACCTTGACTTTACTTATTGATTGCTTCTTGGGAGATACTGGCAGATATCTTTCAATGTCTTAATATTCAAATGTACAAGCTGTAGTGGAATACATAAAATACATTTTTTTGGTCAACAGTTACAGTGACTAAACACAACAGAGAAATCAATATGCAAAGCCAAGGAGAAACTGCTTTTGCCCTAGCCTGCAGCTTCAACCAATCTGTTCTGCTCTTCAAGAGTCTAGTGAGTTAGTGAGTGTATTTACTGCTGTAATTATGGTAACTTGGCTGGATAACAAAAGTCCTGTCTAAACAAGTGTACACCCATCTCAGTGAGACAAGACTACTATTGTCTGTTTCCACTTCAGGACCATGAGTAAGGCAATGATTCAGTTTCAACACAGTGGCTTTCTTTGTGGCTAAGAACATGCTCAGCTGATGCTCCAGGTTAAAAAGGACAGAAAATAGGGCAGGCACCAACTTTTTCTACTACCACAATTAGAGAAACCTGGGGCCCAGTGGCCAAATGATTCATCTGAGCACTCGATATTCGAAAGCTAAAGATTTTGTATTACAAAGAACACAATTAGCTACTCTATGTTTCCTCTATATGTGTGGGAGGTGTTCATGTAGCCTTTAAGAATATTACCAGTAGAAGGCAGGAAGCTCTGAGTATCCAGAAGTCTAGGCCTGTATGATTCTCATTCCATTAAAATGATCATTTTAAAGATATTTTTCAGTATCAGGGTGTTTTTTTTTCCCACATTTTTTTTTTTAAATCATGCAATCAATATTTTAAACCTGAATCTTGTCTATGTTGCTTAGTTCTAATATTCTCAGATAAGCAGAGTTATAGGCAGAAGTAGAATAAAGAAGAACACTTACATCTTTGATTTTCTCAGAAGTAATAGGTCTATTTTGGCAATCAATTGCTCCTTCAGCTACAATGATAATATTCAGCCTTTTCTTTCGAGCACGGTTCTAAGGAAAGAAAAAATCAAATCCTCAAGTTCCTAATGCACTGGTAAAAACAAAAAGAAAGCCACAGTGATTTGTTCTGAATTGAATGAGCTTCTGTCTGATTAGAAATGGTCACCGAAGATCACAAGCGTTGCTGTTAAATGCCATTGAGAGGATGCTGACTCATGGTGCACCCAGGTGTGCAGAGTTGAATTAGTGGCTTAACTAATCACCACGGCTTCTCTTTAGTAGCCATGCTGGGTGAGTTCAAATCTCTAGCCTTTAGAATACGAGTTCAACCAAACCATTTGTGCCAACAGGTACCCCAACTTTAAAAGTAGTGCTTCCTAATAAGATGAAAGTGAAACGTACTTTTCGATAAGTAGATGGGATGAGGAGTGAAGGATGGATGTAGGAAGGGTATGCGGATGACTGGAACAGAGTGACTGTAAGCTAAGGTCAGCGGATATTTGGTAGATTATATTATACCACAAACAACAGATTAAAAACTGACAACCAATCTCTGCTTTTTCAGTGTTGGACAGTGAGCCCTAGGAAGACAGTAAGCACAAAACTGGGTTCCTGCAGCTGTCTCTGCCAGAAAACTACACTTCCAACCTCCTTTCAATAGCATGAGCCTCTTGACTTATCTCCCTATATGCTATCCACCAACTGACTAGTAGAGTCCTGGTGTGGCACTGTGGGTTAATGCATTAGAATGCAAAGTTGGTTTGAACCACAAGGTCTGCGGTTCAAGATCACAAAGCCACTTGTCAGAAACTCCATACAGGGTCACTATACATCGGAATCCACTCGATGGCACTTAACAACAACAACTGACTAATAATATTTAAGACCAAGTGTTCTCTGTAGTAAGTATTAGGTGCCAACTAAACCCTTAAGTTAATCCTGCATAGAGACTTCACAACTCTTCTGTCAGTTTGTTGTACTGTGGTGGTTTGTGTGTTGCTGTGTTGCTAGAAGCCACACCATTAGTATTTTAAAACCACCCATGGTGGACAGAGGTCAGCAGAGTTTACAGACTAATAAAGACTAGGAGAAAGGAGAGGCAGACTAGTTCTGAGTGGTTATCCACTGAAAGTCTAATGGCTAGCAACGGAACATTGTCATGGTGCTGAAAAATGAGCCACTCAGGTTAGAAGGCGCTCAAAATATGACTGGGGAAGAGCAGCCTCCTCAAAGAAGAGTTGACTTTCATGATGTGGATGGAACAAAACCTCTGAGACCTTCATTTGCTGATGGGGCACAACTAAAAATGAAATGAGGCACCTGTAAACATTGATTAATAATCAGAACATACAATATATAAAGTAAGAATCTAGAAAACTTGGAAACTGTCAAAAATGAAATGGAACACACAAAGATCAATATCCTAAGCTTTAGTGAGCTTGCAGTCTTATTATACTAATGATCAATGTAAATAAATGGCTGATTTGCCCCACGTAACAGAGTAGAAATGCCTCACAGTTTCCTTTGGTTGTAACCTTTTACAGGCTCAGGACTTTTCTCCTATGCCACCACTGAACAGCCAACCTTTTACATAAAGTTTATATAAATCATCATTCCAAAGCCTGTCAACATTTAAAAGGCCAGACCCTAACATTTCCTTTTTCCTTGTCATTTCTGATATTGCAATTTATAAACTCTCAAATCCAAGGAGATTTGCAGAACAGACTATAAATACATACATGCATAAACCCACACACTGTTTTCTAGTTCCTCTTTTACATGACACTTTTCAACATTAAGAAGTAGACAGACTGAAAATAGTCAATATATGAAGATCATATGAGATAGGTTTGAATCAAGTTTAATATCAGAAAGTCTTGTTTAAAACTGTCCAAATGGAAAGTTCTAAAAATCATGATTAAAGCAATCTGATTAGAATAATTAGCAGTAAACAGAAAGAAAATGTGAATTACCTCTGATAGTTTAATGCACATATTTTCTTCCCAGCCTTCTTCTGGCGGAGATTCCGGAAGAAACACCCAATCTGCACCACAAGCCAATGCACTAACCAGGGCTAAATATCTATTTGGAAATAATAATAAGTATCAATAACTCAAGGCTCCATCTTGTTATACGTTTACTACCAGGAATCCAAAGCTCAACAACATATTCCAGCAGAAACAGCAGTGGATTAGGCATCAGAAAACTTGGGATCAAGGTCAGGCTCCTCCATGATTTCTTCAGAACATCCATAAATTGGAAAAAGAGGGCTCAGAAGATGATTGCTAAGGTTACTTTCATTCTAAAACATGTCAAAAGATACATACCCACAGTGTCTCCCCATGACCTCAAGAACAAAGGTCCTCTGGTGGCTGGAAAAGACACAAGGGAACATACACTTACTAACATTGTGATGAGCATCAGAAGGAAATCAACATACTTTGACTATCAAATTAGACAGAGACGGTATTTCCTAATGGTGGCAGGTACCTAACCTTCCAAAATATTCATTTCTACAAAACGCAATGCTGCTCCATCAATAATCATTTCAGCGGTTGTGAGTGAAAGGACATCAGTGCTGAGTGTACTTCCTAGTTTCTGATTTTACAACTTGTATTTGCTTGCGCTCCAGGACATAATACATACCTACCTACAGAACACTTTTCTATGACCTTTTGAAGACAATGGCTATATTAGGTAAAGATAGTTACTTCTCATGTTAAGAACAATGAGTGGGATATAGCCAGCAGCAAGCATGTGGGTATGACACGCAGGAAGTCTGCTCAGTCCGTGCCCAACAACTGTGTCTATCCATGGAATAGGAAAAACTAACCACTTTCCATGGAATGGGGCAAACTAAACATTGAGGATATCATGTTGTTTTCAGTGGCATTTCAGAAGGACCACAAACCTTGAATGTAAGGGGCTATTGTGAAGCACTATTGTGGAGTGAGAAAAATATATACACAGGAATCAAGAGGTCTTACTATCTGGATATGCTCCAAGTTTCAAATTCCTCATGCATGCAATGAGAGACATTTGCTTTATTCACTGTTTCACACAGGTTTTTTAAAAGTGCTTTTTAAAAACTCTAGAATACTATCTAGAGTCCCTGGATGGAACAAATGGGTGATGATGCACTCAATTCCTGATAACTGAAAGGTTAAGAGATTCAAGCCCACCGAGAGGTGCCTGATACAGAGTTCTAAAATCACTCACTGAAAACCCGATGGAGCAGAGTTCTAATCTTACACACCTGGGGTTGCCAAGAGTAACGGTTATCTCCGGAATCTGCATATCACCTTTGATAAAGTTTGAGTGCTTTATCTACATTTTAGTAAACATATACCTTGGAAACAAAACAGTGAGGAAATGCTTAGACACATTCCCAATAGGTATCCATCCCACTGCTCTCTAGTCCGTTCTGACACAATAGCCACCCGACAGGACAGAGTAGGAAGTCCAGTCATTTCCCAGGCCATCATCTTTACACAAGTTGACTGTCACAGCTTCCATCCACACAACAGCTGGAGGGTCCGAGCCATCAACCTTTCTTTCAATTAGCCGCCAACTACTTAACCTCTTTGTCACCATTGTTTTTATTTTTTGTTATTCCTTCAGGACACCTTTGGGTAGGACTTTACACAGATAATAATCATTTTGTTTTATTCCATTTAAAAGAAAATTTTCCACAATGAATATAGGTTTTTGCACCATTAGAAAGTAAACTTGAGAACAATTTTCTTGTAATGATTTATAGTACTCAAGTACACCAGGATATTGTGGCACATTCTAAAAAGTCTGAAGTGCAGCCAGTACCACTTGACGCCTCAGTCCATCACTTGGCCCAGACCCCTTTACCTCTGTGCCGTGGTCATGATGGCATCAACCACTTCAATGATCCTGTGCAGAGCTGAGTCTGTGCCTATCGTCATGTCTGTCCCACAGAAGTCATTGTCAATGGAGCCTACCATGCCCACAATGTTGAGGTACGCATGCTTCGTCACGGCATCGGAGTCAATCTGGCCTATGTGGGAAAACAAAGCAAATCTAAGCACACCCTTTTCATATCTGGTACGAGGCGTTAGTTCTATGGGCACACCATTAGGTTTGAAGAAAATGAACAGTGGTAAAGAAATCCATTATTGGATATTATTTTTCCATTTGTTACTCCATGAGGGGGCTTCCAAAAGTTCCTGGGAAAAAATGGAAGTAAAAGATATTGGAATCTTTCCACCATCTTTTTGAAGCCCTTTCGTTTTTTTCTCTAAGTTATACACAGTGTTATTTTGTATATTTAGAGAAATAAAAGCCAGACAAAGGTGAAGGTAATTACATAAAACAGGATATGCAATTTGTATAAATGTTCTTGTACAAGGTAGCGCGGACACTGTGACAAGCATCAAAAACAGAGAAACATACTTTCATAGTCCAGTTAGACAAAAATGCTATTTCAGAATTGTGGTAGGGAGCTAAACTTTCAAAATATGAGGGTGAATCGACAGTGATTCATACTCTGGCTATAGAATTTCTTTTAATCAACTTTTTGAAAAAATAAATACAACAGTTTTCTACATAATCGCCTTGCTTTTCAATACACTTTGTCCATCTGTCAACAAGCTTTCGTGTTGCCTTAATAAAAAATGCTTTACGTTGAGCTTTGCGCTACAAATGAGCTGCTGTCCTTCACATCTTCATCCTCGAAAAACTGAAAGTGCAAGTCCAATGGAGCACAATCGGGACTATAGGGAGGATGCTTTAACACCTCAAAATGAAGTATTTGCAAGGTGGCAACAGTGTGGGCAGAGGTGTGTGGATGTGTACTGTTATTCAAGACCACAGCACCCTTGAATAGAGTCTTCTGCATTTAATCCCAAGTTTAGGCTTCAGTTATTCAGTGAGCATCTCACTGTAAAGAGTGCTATTGATGATTGAACCATTTTCCTAACACTGTTCCAATATTGGCCCTTGAGATTTCCAAAAAACTCTGACTATCAATTTTCCAGCTGATGGTTGACTTTTGAACTTTTTCTTGGTTGGCGATTGATGATGTTTCCATTCTATACTTTGCCGTTTACTCTCAGACTCATAGTGATGACTCCATATCTTTTTAGCAGTAATGATTTTTTTTTAAAGAAATTTTTATCTTCCTTCGAGTTTCAGCCCAAATTTTGTTTGCAGATGTCCAAATGCTTCTGTGTATGCTCTTCCGTGAGCTATTTCTGTAACCCCATCACACAAACTTTTCAAAACCCAAGTCTGTCGTGGATTATTTCACAGGCAGAGCCACGGCTGATTTGCAAATAATTTGCCACATAATCCCCTGTCACTCGTCTATTCGATAGAATCATTTTACGTGCACGCTCAATGTTGTCATCAGCCATGGACTTGGAAGGGCGTTTCAACATTACCGGAGTGCAGATCATTTTTGCCTCATCCCATAAGATCTGTTTGCTACATAATGCAATGTTGCTCACTTATACAAGAACACATAATTTCAGGAAGAAAGGTAAGAACAAAGGAAGGAAGGAAGGGTTCTGTGGATCAAATCTTAGTTTATTTTTATCCACAGACTGGCTTAAGAGAATGGCTCTGGATAGTGATAAGTTATAATTATAGAATTAAATTAATAAAATCATGTAATCTTACTATTTGATTTGTGATAGAAATCTGAGGAACTAATCAGTTACTAAGTGTCACTTAGCACTCAGAAGAAATCCAGATTTGAACTGCCAGGTCTGCATAAATTAAATTAGAATAATCAGCTGGTCATATTGAAAGTAGGGGTGAGCCTTAGGTCCAGAACTCATGATGACTATTCTACTTCCTGTGGTACCTAAGAAACCAAGTCAGACCAGAACAAGATGGGCCAAGAAAATACTGTTAAGCCCGTGTGGGCTACGATACGACAGTCATTCTCCATTCCCTTAAGCATCTTTTTAAAAGATTGGGGCTCAACTGTTTCATTCCAAGTCTCAGTTGTTCCTAAATTTACTGTTGGTGCAAACGGGATAATTTTCTGGGTTGTCTTTTATATTAACTTTATGTAACAGCAACCTCAAAAGACTGAAAACAATGGTGTACATAGGATTCTCAGAAGTCCTTTCCTAAATCGTTTTAAAAGTCTGACATTCAGTTATTATATAAATTAGTTCTGCACATGTTAAATTTAGTACAAGGACTAAAAGTGGAGACTCTGGAGTCCATCTGCCCTTGCGAATCCTCTCTAGGCTCACCACTTAATTGCCGTATGACTTCAGCTAGAACTTCTGATTCCCCATCTGTAAAATAGGAATAAATAACTAACAAGCCATCTCAGAGAGCTGCTATGTGGGTTACATAAAATGGTCTATGTAAAGGGCTAAAAGAGCGTCTGATACATTTTAAGGTTAAATGCATGTTCTTATTCGCATTGCTGTCATTATTTGAGGCATAAATTTGAGTCTTGAGGTGGTGAACTGTAAGATCTGTGGTGATGACAAGCACCACAAAGCCTTCTGCTATGCGTAAAAGAACAAAATGTACACATTCAAAAGCTCTCTGAATGTAAGGGAAATCCATGAGAAAATGAAACAGAAAATGTATTTGAACACCCCCAGTTAAGCAGAAATGTACCAGACTTGGCCAGCTCTTCCAGCAGCCCGCTCCATTCCTTCCGGAAGATATTGGCCCCTGTTAAGCTTCCATCCCCACCAATTACACAGAGATTCGTAATTCCCAGATGAATCAAGTTGCAAGCAGCTTTTAAACGGCCTTCCCGAGTACGAAATGATTGGCAACGGGCACTGCCGATGATTGTCCCTCCCTAGAAAAGAAATAAGATTATGTTTATTTATCTCCTTGCAACTAAGACAGAAAGCTAGACAGATTGGCACCTGCCAGTGGCGACCTATAAACACAGGGCTTTCAAAATTAGGTTTTCTGCATTTTACTCCTTTGCATTGTTGATGGTTACTGTCGTGGAGTCGGTTCCGACTCATAGTGACCCTGCACAGCGTTTCCGAGGCTGTAAATCTTTACGGGAGCAGAAAGCCTCATCTTCCTCCCACAGAACAGCTGGTAGTCTCGTCAAATGTAAAAGCTTGTGGTTTTCCCATTTTTAGTACCATACCGAATCCTATAGATTTTAGTCCCTACTGAATCATACAGTATACTCAGTGGTGGTGAAACAGAATATAAAAACACAAACCGATAGTCATCCTTAGCTAAATACACAGAGTAACGACTTTGTAAAATTGCAAAAGCAATCCAAAAAGCCGCTGGTGAAACTGTGCCAGCAGTAGGTGAACTTTACCCTACAAGCACTGAGGCAAAAGACTAGTTCCTCCACTGATCAGGACCCTTTGCAACCTGCCCAGCAAGCCATCCTATGTCATGCTGCTGTTCCTCTTATGTGCCATCAAGTCGATTCCGGCTCAGAGCAACCCTATGTCACAGAATCCAACTGCCCCATAGGGTTTCCTTGCCTGCGATCTTCCAGGGAGCAGCCTGCCAGGCCTTGTCTCCTGCAAAGCCTCAGGGTGGCTTTGAACCACCAATATTTTGGTTAGCTAAACCACTGCACACCTAGGTCTCCTTCTCTACTGGCCAGACCTTGCTGCATTTTCAGACAAAATGAATAGCAACTGTGAGTCAAATAAATGTCTTCAAGTACTGCATCCCCTTACCACTCTTCTTAAAAGGGTCAATCTTAGGCAAACTTAAATTTGACAGTCTAAACATCCAGAAGAGAGAAATTGTAATTTTTCACACTTAGCTTTTCAAAAATAATTATTTAAGAAAAACACAGGATTCCTTTAAATAAGTTATAAATACATTCATAGATCTGGGGTTTGTACTCAGGCCTTTTAACTAGTGTTGGAGACGAGCCTCTCTCTTGACGGATAAACCGGCAGACAGTTCTGACTCATGGTGACTCACAGTGGTTCAGAGCAAAACGGCTCCACAGTGTTTTCTTGGCTGTAATCTTTACAGAAGCTGACTGCCAGTTTTCTTCTGCAGAGCCTCTGGATGGGTTTGAACCACCAATCTTTAGATTAGCAGCTAATCATAAACCACTTGTACCTCCAGGGTTCTTTCTGTTGAGACTCAACCAGAAAAATCTTTGTTTATATCATTTATGCGACTGCATCTGACTCCCTTCCGTGGCCATGCAGTCTACTCTGACTCACAGCAACCCTATAGGACAGAGTCGAGCTGTCTCATCGGGTTTCCAAAACTGTCACTATTACAGAAACAGAGGGTAATATCTTTCTTCCAAAGAGTGGTTGGCAGGTTCAAACCACCAACTCTTTGGTTAGTAGCCAAACAACCACTATACCACCATGGCTTTTAGTATCTGTTTGCAAATATACAAATAGTATGTTGTTGTTTACTGCTGTCGGTTCATATTCACAGCGACCTTGTATAGGATTTTTTTCTGCGTAGTTTTTTAATCACCGATCTTGTGGTTCAAACTGACTCTGAGGTTGAGTGCTTATCCTATGGCACACATTTATTAATATTGATTAGGCGTTCCCTATAAGCACTATACTACTAACCTCAAGGCCAGAAGTTCAAACCCAGCAGGCATTCCTTGGAAACACTGTACAGCATCACTATTAGAGGGAACTGACCCGACAGCACTTAACAACAGCAATATTGATTTATGAATATTGATTTCAAATCAGAAAACAATGTATTTTTACATCAAAATTACCAACATTGAACCAGTCAAAGCAATAAAAGATGTTACATGTATAAACTAAAATTTAATCAGCACAATTTTGTCACTCATACATGACTAAACGTGACCCTATGTGCATGGTAGTAGTAGTAAATATGACTGTGATAAATTATAACTTTGTCCAGCAAAGGTGACCATAGAGTAGAAAGTGCTGGGGTAAGACAGAGATAAGCTTTGTCTTGGAGCTTTGATTTGAGGAGCAGTCATTGGAGGGTCATGTGATTAATGTCAACCTGAAGTGAAGTAAGTCATCAGCTCTTAAATATCAAAATTGAATACATAACATGGGCAGAAGTCTGGGGAATAAAATCATGAATAAGGAATCTACAAAGAAGTAGGCGCTTTCCCCAAACAGACCCTTAGGCCACTGGTATATTTCCTGTCACAATTATAATACCCAAGCCAGTCGCCTTCAAGTAGATTCCGACTCATGGAGACTACATGAACAAAACTGCTCCACAGGCTTCCTGGGCGACAATCTTTACAAAAACCAGCTGCCAGACCTTCTTCTACAGGGTCACAAGGTGGATTCAAACGGAAAATATATCAACTTGCAGGTGAGCACAAACCATGTGCAACACCCAGGGATCTTTTACAATGTGGATTCCAACTAACAGCAACTCCGTATAGGGGTTTCCTAGGCATGGCTGGTGGGTCTGAACCCTGATTCTGTGATTACCAATCCAGTGCATACTCTACAGGGCACACCAGAACCCCCTAATTAAAACAGCAGAAAAGAAAAATTATTTTCAGATACAGCTTTACTCTCTGAAATTGAAAAAATATTGCCCGATTTTAAAAATATGTATTTCTTGACCTAATGATTAATGGATGTTAAAATTCCCTTCAACCCCTATTTAGAAGTGAATGAGGAGAAGTGTAAGGATAGCAGAGCAAAAGAAATCCAAGAGCCAACTTCAAATGCTGTGACCACATTAAAACAGGCCCAGCACCGGGCTGCAAACCACAAGGTCAGCCATTGAAATCCACCAGCTGCTCCTTGGAAACTGCAGGCAGGGTCGCTATGAATTGGAAATGACTCCAAAGCACTTAAAATAATAATAATAATAACAAGCATCTTCGCAATGAATGTAGCAATTTGGTTCCTTTCTATTTAAAAGTACTTAAAATAAGTCAAAGATTAAGACATATATTGAAAAGGATTAAACCAGAAGCATAAGAGCTTTTTCATGAAAACTATTATTTCCACATAAATCTCTGATTTGGGAGCTCTGGTAGTGTAGTGGTTACGAATTGGGCTGCAAACCACAAGGTCAGCAGTTCAAAACTACCAGCTGCTACACGGGAGAAAGATGAGGCTTTCTACTCCCGTAAAGACTTACAGCCTCAGAAACCCTGTTCAGGGTCGCTATGGGTCGGAATTGACTCAACGGCACTTAACCACCACAACAACAACTAATCTAAAGTGTTCTGGGAGTGTATTAGGCACATAGAATGCTTTGGCAGGTTTCTTGTAAATTGAAAATAAGCAACTATTTTGCTTAAAGGAATAATTACCCCATTTTTGTGTATACTGAGGAAGTTAGCCTGTACGATCCAGTCCATATAAGAGATGCTGTGTTCCTAATAAACCCACAGCCTTGAAATGTATTGTCATGTCATTCCCAGGCTTTAGTATACTTATTAAATGTCACTTGCAAACCTCCCACAGGGCACAGATATTGCAACTGAACAAAGAGCACCAATAGTAGCAGCCTTAACACTACTCTGATCTGGAAAAAAAAAAAAAAAACAGTCAGAAGTAACTTTTTATTGCAAGGATAATTATAGAATTTATATCATGTAAGGTTTAAAGTTGTGATTTTTTTTTCCCCCTTTTAATTAAATGTTGAGTTAAGGGTGCTCTCTTTCTGTGCAAATAGTCTAGAATAATGGCATTCCGCACATTAATCTGTTTTCAGTATTACTGAAGCATACATATGTGAGGTTTCAAACTAGCAAAGTTACTCACTGACTCAGAGAAAGAAATAGTATGAAATCATAGACATACCATCTGTAGAATGCTCGAGACACTTTCCCACGAGGCTTCAACAATATTAGCACCTCCATCTACCATACCTTGGTAGCCCTGATAAAAGAAAAAAAAGTACACATTTCAAAATGCGTGAACCTTTTGTTTTTAGCATTGTCTGGTACTTACATTATATAAAATAGAAATACCAATTACAAAGAATGTAAAATACAATGAAACTAAGTTCCTAACAGTCCAACGGTGACAAGACACAGCTGAGATACATCTACCTGTGGAAATCATCAATTCTGATAGGCTCTTAAATATAGTTTCTAATAATAGGAATTTTAACACAAACTAGTTCAAACTTCCTGGTTTGGGACTGCAGAATAATGCACCAAACCATAAAGTCGCTTTGAACACCGAGGTCAACGGTTCAAACTGACAAACCACTCCCACTCCTCAGAAATCCTTTACAGGGTCGCTATGAGTTGGAACTAACTCCACAGCATTTAACAACAGCAACAAAGCCCAAAATATAATTTTGATAAGAAAATGACTTCTGTGTCATCATGGCTCCTGTATTATCTAATTGTTCCTATGTGATTGAAAACAGACATGGTGTTACTAGGTGCAGTTGAGCTGGTACCAACTAATAGCGACCTTACATACAACAGAACTAGACACTGTCTAGTCCTGGGCCATCTTTACGATCATTGCTATGCTTCAGCCCATTGTTGCAGGCACTGTGCCAACCCATCTTGTTGGGGGGGGGGGTTTCCTCTCTTTCACTGACCTTCTATCTTACCAAGCATATTGTCCTTGTCGAGAAACTAGTCCCTCCTGACAACATGTCCAAAATATGTGAGATGAAGTTTTGCCATTCTCATTTCTAAGCAGCATTCTAGCTATATACTTCTTCCAAGAGAGATCTGGATCTTCTGATAATCGTGGTAATTTCAATATTCTTCACCAATACCACAGTTCAAATGCATACGTTCTTCTCTGGTCTTCCTTATTCGTTTTCCAGCTTCCACATGCATATAAGGCAATTGAAAACACCCTGACTTGGATCAGCGGCACCTTAGTCCTCAAAGTCACATCTCTGCTCTTTAACACTTTAAAGAGGCCTTTTGCAGCAGAGTTGTCCAATGCAATACGTCATTTAGATTCTTGATTGCTTTTTTTCTTGGTGGTTCCAGGTAAAATGAAATCCTTGACAACATTTATCTTTTCTCCATTTATGATGAATTTGTTTATTGGTCCAAGTGTGAGAATTTTTGTTTTCTTTCTGCTGAGGTGTAATCCACACTGAACACTGTTAGTCTTTGATCTTCATCCATAAGTGATTCTATAAGTGCTTCAAATCCTCTTCACTTTTAGCATGCAAAATTGTGTCATCTGCATATTGCAGGTTGTTAATGAGCCTCCCTCTAATCCTGATGCCACATTCTTCATGTCATCCAGCTTCTGGGATTATGTGCTCAGCATACACACTAAACAAGTATAATGAAAGAATACAACCCTGACACACATCTTTCCTGATTTAAAACCATTCAGTATCCCCTTTTAATACTTGAACTACTGCCTCTCTTAGTTTATGTACAGGTTGCTCTTGGCACAGTTAGGTTCTGGAATTCCCTTTCATTGCAATGCTATCTATAGATTGTATGATCCACACAATCAAATGCCTTTACATAGTTAATGAAACACAAATAAGCATCTTTCAGCCAAAATCCATCTGACATCAATGATATCCTCACTCCATATTTACCCTAAAATGTTAATAATTTAGTACAAACTCACATACAAACTATGTTGTCAGTTTCACTGCATTCATAAAAGCTTTCCTGGCCAGTCCTCCCTTTGGCAAGGCAATCCAGGGTACTTCACATCTATAAAAGTGTATATATATTTTTTAAAGCACAGCTGAATAATTCTCTAATAAATTCAATCTGCCCTACCTTCCAAATTGTAGCATTTTATTATACTGGGGTAGTATTTTTAGTCTATTTGGGTATCGGTACATACTTTTGCCTGGAAGCTGAATTCTAAATGCATTTTAAGACCAATGAATACAGAAATGCTCCATTCGCATCTTTATCTACGTGTCTTATTTTCCAGAGCACTTTACCTTGTTAAAAAGGAATAGCAAATAAGTATTTATTATACTTTATCACAATAGATAATTACTGTGAATTCATATTCCCTCTCTAGTAAAAGCAACAAGGCAAGGAAAACAAAATTATGCTTTTGTTTGTTTGTTGTTATGTGCCATCCAGTCGGTACCTACTCACAGTGATCCTATCTATGCACAACAGAACGAAACACTGCCCAGTCCTGGGCCAACCTCACAATTATAGCCATGCTTGAGCTCATTGATGCTGCCACTTTGCCAAGCCATCTCGCTGGGGATCTTCCTCTTTTTCTCTGACTCCTTCACCTTACCAAATGTGATATCCTTCTCCAGCAACTGGTCCCTCCTGACAATATAGCCAAAGTATGAGAGATGAAGTTTGGGCATCCTGGCCTCCAAGGAGCACTCTAGCTGCACTTCTTCCAACCCAGATCTGTTGGTTCTTTTGGCAGCCCATGGTACTTTCAATATTCTCCTCCAACACCATAACTTAAATGCATCAAATCTTCTACAGTCTTCCTTATTCACTGTCCAGCTTTTGCATGCATATGAGGTTATTGAAAATACCACAGCTTGGGTCAGGCACACCTTAGTCCTCAAACTGACGTCTTTGCTCTTCAACACGTTAATAAGGTCTTGTGCAGCAGATTTGTCTAATGCAATACGTCATTTGATTTCTTGACTGCTGCTTCCATGAGTATTGATGGTTGATCCAAGAAGAATGAAGTCCTTGACAACTTCAGTCTTTTCTCAATTGATAAGAATGTTGTTTATTGGTCTAGTGGTGAGGATTTTTGTTTTCTTTACTTTGAGATGTAATTCATACCGAAGGCTGTGGTCTTTGATCTTTATCAGTAAGTATTTTAAGTCCTCTTCACTTTCAGCATGCAAGGTTGTATCTTCTGCATGCCACAGATTGTTAATGAGTCTTCCTCCAATCCTGATGCCACATTTTTCTTCCTATAACCCAGCTTCTTGGATTATTTGCTCAGCATAAAGGTTGAATAAGTATGGTGAAGGAATACAGCCCTGTCGCACACCTTTCTTAATTTTAAACCATTCAGTGTTCCCATGTTCTGATCGAACAACTGCCTCTTGGTCCGGGTACAGATTCCTCATGGAGCACAATTCAGTGTTCCGGAATGTTCATACTGTCCATTGAGTATGAAGTCTGTGTGTAAATTAACCACATATTGTGCCAACAGTTCTGTAGTTGACCAATTTGTTTACTTATATTTATGAATGTTAAATTTCCACCCAAAATACTGTGTATATACACACACACACACACACATATATTAAACCAAACCTACTGCCATCAAGCTAGTTCTCACTCATAGTGACCCTATATAGGCTTTCCAAGACTAAATTTAACAGGAGCAGACAGTGTTGACTTTCTCCCACAGATAGGCTGGTAGGGTTATACTGCTGGGCTTGTCATTAGGAGCCGCACCAGTGCTTTGTGTCTTTGAAGGGCTTCACAAAGTCAGTGGAAAACAGAACTAAATGATAATGGAATATTTCTATAAACTTTTCAAGTCCCCTCGTATGTACCCAGTAACATATACATAAGAATGTGTATGTGTGTATGTGTCTAAAATCTAGTGGCAAATTGGAAAGGAATAACCACTACAAATGAATAGAACAAGGGCAGATTAAAAAGGGCTACTTTTAATGCTGGCAAGAGCTTCTCACACATCTGTACTTGACCTCAGGATCCCAAATCCCTAGGCCAATCCTTTATCCATGTTTTCTCCCAGCCCTTCAAGCAGCCAGCATACTGACTCATCCACTGTCTTCAAGGGGAAGAAACAGAACTGCTAAACAAATCTCCATCTACCTTTAAGATGAATTTATTTTGCCTTTTTATTAACATCTTCTTTCTTTGCCCCAAAACATTACAAGGTATACATTTTCACATGATTCCATTTAAAGTATAGCACTAGGTGTAGTTGATACTGTGGAGGAAGAGATAAAAAGCAAGAATATGATCTAATCTAGACCTCACTTTGGGTATTTTTCGGGGGGAGAAAAGTAGGTAGACAGACAGATAGCTATAGATGGTAACTTAGCCTTCTTGTCAGATGCCATAGAGTTATCCCTGACCTCATGGCAAGCCCATACATAAAGAGTTCAGCACCATACCCAAGATTATTTTTGAGTCAGACCATTGTGATCTAATTGTTTTTCATTGGCTAATCTTCAGAAGTAGATCATCAGACCTTTGTTAGTGAAACTCACTCAGCATCACGACAACACACAAGCCTCCAGCAGCAGATGGTGGTAGCTGAGAGTGACGGACTTTGGCTGGAACGGAACCAACTTTCCCTACATGGGAGATGGAAATTTGGCCACTGAACCACTGATGCCTTTACTGTTGCTGAAGAGTGGCTGATAAATTTGAACCACCAATCTTGTGGTTCAAACTGACCATGTGGTCCAGTGCTTTATCCCACAATGCCACACCAGGACTCCTAACCTAGCCTTAGGGTTTCCCTTTTAATTGTCTCCATCACCCACAACCTCCCAAGGTTTTGTTAAGAATGACGCTGCACTCTTTGGAGACACTATAGCATGCCAGTGTTAAGATCTGAGGACAATACTGCACAAACTGTAATGGTAAAAACTACCCTTAGTGGCAATCCTGACTGACTTTTAGATGTGTTGAGCTAACTGCTTTAGGAGTCTGGAAGGAAAGGAAACAAGAAGGAATTAGGCATGTGGCTGGGATCCAAGTTTGAAGACCCATAGTACTGTGTGGACATGAACCTTACACAGGATTTTTTTTTTTTTTTTCAATTGTAATTTGGGTGAAAGGTTACCAAGCAAATTGGTTTGCCATTCAACAATTTATATACTTTTTGCTTAGTGACATTGGTTGCAATCCCCTGGTGTGGCGCTGTGGGTTAATGAACTGGACTGCAGTCAGTTTGAATCGCAAGGTCTGCAGTTCAAGGTCACCAGCTGCTCCTCAGAAACC